ACATAGTATCAATTTTATATAAACTCAGAAAACAGAGGACTTGGGGATACTTCTCATGTCATTTAATAAAATCAGCATGGCCCCGATATAAAAAACAGACAAAGACATTACAACAGCAACAACAACAACAAAAAACAGATCAACATTCCTTGTCAACACAGACCAAAAATCCTTGACAAAACTTCAACAAATTTAATTCAGCAATATATAAAAAGGATAATATACTGTGAGAAATTAGGGTTTATCCAAGGAATGCTAGGTTAGTTTAACATTAAAGAAAGCAACAATTAATGCAATTTACTGTGTTAACAGACTAAGAGGACACCATATGACCATTTCAATAGATGAGGAAAAAGCACCTGACAAAAACCAACACTCATTTATGAGAAAAATTCTCAGTTAATTAGGAATAGAAGGGAACTTTCTCAATCTAATAGAAATTATTAAAAAAAAATCCCTACCACTAACTTCATACTTCATAGTGAAAATTTAAGTGCTTTCCCCAAATAATCGGGAACAAGACAAAGATATTCATTCTCACCATTCTATTCAACATTTCATTGGAGGTCCCAACCAGTGTAATCAAGCAAGATAAAGAAATAAAAGGCATGAAGATTGTAAAGGAATAAGTAAAAGTCTCTTTAGTCACAGAGGACATGTTTGTATACATGGAACATGCAAAGGAATCTACCAAAAATACTAGAGCTAATGTTTCAGCAAAGTTACATTATTCAAGATAAATATAAAAAATCAATTGTATTTGTATTTCTATATTCTATCAACAAATAATTGGAAATTGAAATAAAAATATCATTTATAACAACATCAAAGTCACAAAATACTTAGGAATAAGTTTAACAAAATTCGTGTAAGATCTGTTCACTGAAAAGTATAAATTAAAATTTGAAATTAAAGACTTAGGTAAGTGGAAATAGCAAATTCACGGGTTGAAAGAGTAAATATTGTTAAGATATTATGTCTCCTCAAATCAATCTATGGATTCAGTGCAACCTGTAGATTGCAAAGCAAGACTATTTTATATTAGTAACATATACTTTTATACAAATCAACTTAATTCTTTTCAGTGACTGTATGTATTCCTTGAGTTAGGCCTCATATGGATGAGGTGTAACTCGTCTAACCAGTCCATCAAAAAATTTTTGCTTAAATAAGTATTTTTGTTCACTAAATTTTGCTCATAAATCTACTTTATGATTCAAGTATGCAAACATACCTGATACACACACACACACACATATATGAATATAACTGTCTATAATATAACTGTCTTAATCTGGCCTAGATCATAGGATCCAAATTGTATTACTGGCTTACACAACATTCTTATATATAATAGTCCATAAACCTTATTACATGTACTGGGTGATTTGCTAAATTAGCCATGAACTGGTCTTTTTATGGGATCCCGTGTCATCTTTGGGCTTTCTCTATGGTAGAAATACTTGGGCCAGTCATATGGGCAGGGTCCATTCCTCTCATTTTTTCCCAGCTGGGCTCAACTCTTCTTCCAGCTGGGATTGCCTCCTTATTCCATGCCTGGCTGGCCAACCTGGCACTGCAATTCTTGGGCTGGAACTAGTTCCTTGACCAGTGACTTTGGGAATGACTGGTTTGGTATCTCATGAGTGTTATGACTGAAATTTCATTGCTAATCACTTCTAATATGTACCTTCCCAACTCTCTTCATTGGTGATCTAGTGTTTTCCCATAGATACATCTATTTCCTACTGGGATATCTGGTACTTCCTGCAAAATGGGTAGTTGCTACTAGGGTTAAATAGTTACCAGAAAAAGGCTAGATTATGCTTCCAATTCTTCCATCTTAAAAATATGTTTTCCAGTATGGATGTTCAGACACTTATTATTCAAACACTCATTGATTCAATTGTTCATTCAATGAATACCAACTTGCTGGGTGTTAACACTCTTATGAGCACTGAAAGTGAATGCAGACAACCAAAACCACAGATGACCAAATGAATGGTACAGATTTGAGTGTTATAGGAGTATCCTTGAACCTCTTAACAAGTTTGACTTTTTTTAGCTCTGTCCCTTTTGGAATCTATCTGCCATACTCTACCAAGTAAGTTTTCTAAAAACTGAGGCTCATCTCTTTTCACAGAAAAAAAAAAGTGTAAGCTCTTTAGTGCATCATTCAAGGCTCCTCACAATCTGGCTCCAATTTCCATTCAAGCCTTAATCATTCCCACTCTCTCTGATAAGCCCTGTGTTCTACTACTATATCAAACTTCTCCCTGGTCCCATGAAGCACTAGGTCCTTTCCAATTTCTATTCCTTCTGCTCAGAATGCCTTTCCATCTTCTTCACCTGGCAAACTCCCAATCAACCTTCAATATTCAGCTAAAAGTCTTGGTGAAACATTTCCTCTATGCTCCTCATCTGTTCTGGGTTGAACACATTGTTCTGTTCTCTCTATTAGATGATGAGAGTTTTGAGGACATTGAGTTTATCTTGTTAATCTTTGTAGTCCTGAATCCAGGTTTGAATAGGGCCTGGCAAGTAGTTTGGGCCCAATGAATTTTTGGTAAATGAATGAATGAACAAATGAACATGAAATAAAAGCTCAAAGGGCCTTGGTATATTTAGGTAAGGCTTTTTTAAAAGCATAGAACTTTAAGCTGGACTGAAGAAGACCGTACAGAGGTAGGAAAAGGGCATCTGGAGGAGGAGGATTATTATCCTAGGAGACAGAAGAACAAAAGCCTGAGACTGAGAGGGAAGACACTGAGGGTGTTAGCCAGCAGACTGCAGCTGCCTGCTGCACTGTCCTGACCTTTTCACTGATTAGATTTCTCAATTACATTTTCAGCTCATGGAAGGCAGGGTATTTTGTTCACTCCTTTGTATCCCCTTTATATTTGATGCACATCTCCATAGCCATTGTTCCTACAGTCTTGTGGTTCTTATTTTGTCTTGTAATAGAATTATTTGTATATTTACATATCTCCCCAGTACTCATACTCCCCTTTATCTCAGGCTGTTTGAGATAGGGGATGAGGTCTTAGTGTCTTTGTATCTTTCAAGACACCTAGCATAGTGCCTGGCACACAACGGGTGGTCAGTAAATGATTTTTTGAACTACCATTTGTTGATCTGATTATAAAGGACTGCAAGGATATTTGTGTGCAACTGTGTATTGTGGCATAAAACTTATATATGCCTTTACACTGTGTGGGCTTTTTTGGGGCAATTTTCATTAAAATGTTATCTTATTGTACCTGGAAGACTGTCATTTCAATTTTCTTCTTTGTTCCCTCTTGGATGACTCACATCTCTTATACCAGAAGGATATGACAGAAGGGATTTGAAAGAGTTTGGACAAATTTATGAAGGATAGTCATAAATGTCTGGATATAAGAAGTTGTTAGGAGCATACAAACAGGAAGAAGAAAACTTGCATTTCAAAAATGCCTATTTTGAGCCAAGAACTGTGTTAAGCACTTGATATACATTATATCTCATTTAATCTGGCAGACTATATCAGTATAAAGATAGGACATCTCTATCTAGAAGGCCAAGTCCACTTTCAGCCAGGCACCTCCTAGGTACCAGAGGCAGTATTCATCTTCAGTAAAATTTTATCAACCTTTTAAGATAGGTGAATCTATAGATTTGCATTTTTTCCTGGGAACAGGACACTCATTCTCAATTCAGGCTTCTACAGCTTAAAACTTCTTTTTTTTGACATAACTCGATCAGTTTTTAAAGTCTCAGTGCTTTAAATTACAATGCAATCTGAGATATTCCTACAGCAATAACAGAGATTATACTTGTTCACAAATGTAATTTGTTCACTTACCTTTATACTTCATAAAGCTTCCAAATACAGAATAAAGGTAAGTCAAGTAAAGAAAAGAGACTTCCATTAACTCTGACACCAGTAAATTGTCTCAATTTATAGTGTGGCTTTTATTTGTATTTTAGACACATTGAGTGGTTTTTCTGAGATACATATTATACCTCATCTATGGTTAGAAGAAAATTGGGAGAAAATTAGTTTAACTTATTTCTAATTTTTAAAAAAATAATAGTAACTAAAAAAGCACAATGCTCCCAAGTATACAGCTTCTGCGTTGAGCAGGAATCAAAATGTTATAACCCAAGTACCATCTAGACTCCTTGGGCGATGCCTTGAGACGGTGGGGTGGCAGCCATTGATTCATTATTATAAGTCAGAGTCTAAAGCCTACAGCTACACATCCTGATCTTTGATAACATGCTTCTCACCAGGTGATGGAGTGGGTGGGAAGTAAAGGGGTAGACTTTCAGATAAAGGGATCAGCATACGCACAGTTCTCAGAGAACTTTGTATTACACCTCTTTTGAGAAAACTAGAACAGACATCTGTGCTTGGAAAACATAAAGTCCATCTCACATGACTAAAGAAATGGCAAAAGTTCAAATGACATGTTTCATATTTTGGATGGTTCTGCCCCAAATTTTGTGTGCCACTAATTGTTGAAAAAATACCAGACCTGTCTTGGTAGTGGTTCTTGTTTTTTTTTTTTTTTAATTTTACATCAGCCAAAGAAAAGTGAGAGATCAGGACTACCATGAAAGAACAGAGGTGCGACATACTGCGTATAGGACATTTTAAAGATAGAGGAGAACCCAGTTTCTATATTTAAAAAAATTACCTCTTCTGTTTTGAGACTAGGGGATGAAAATATACACATATTCCAAAGATTTCTTTGTATGAACAGGTGACTCCTTCCCACAGTCTCTGTAATTAATTGAGACATTAAAGTTGGTTGGCCTTTGAGATCTCTTATTAAAAAAAGGCAGAAGGTCTTGGATATTTTGGAACAAGAGCCCACTATTCTGCCAAGACAGTGTGTTATTGTTATTGGAGTGTCTCTCAACAAAACAGTATTGAGTGGTGAGGACGTGATTTTGATTAGGTGGAATGACTCAGCTCTTCCCCTTAAAGAAGAGAGGACTGTCAGAGCCTTACTTACCTCATGATCTGGGATCTCAGAGGATAGTGTTTTCCCTAGGATGACCCCGGTCAAGTATGTCCAGCATCGAGCCGTGTTGGCAAGGTTATAGCCTCCTGTCTCCATCAAGAATTGTGAAGTTAGGAAAGAATAGTCACAAAACAGCAGGAGAGGGAAGGGGGGTAAGGAAGGAGAGAAAATGTTTTAATAAAAGGGCTAAAAAGATAATTCTAACTTGCAAAATTGTACCTATGCATCTTTAATGATATTTTTGAACTACTTAGTAGGCAGACTTAAGCGAACCAATCAGATCATGCAGTGTGGAACTGGGAAGTCCAAAGCCTACAAAGATCAAAAGACTCTCATCTCTGAATGAATACGCTTCAGAGGACTCCAAGCTCCTCAGTTCCACCAAGAAACCTGGATCTTTTGAGATGACCTACTCAAAGTAAAGGTTTCTGTGATGAATTTTGTAACAATTCTATAAAATGACTGCTAGATGTGATTTGTATATTAAACCTATTGGCAGATACAGCCCTGGAAACCTCCAGGAAAGAGAAAAAGAAAATGCTGACAGAAATAGACTTCCTTCTTTTCATATCAGCATTCCTTTTCTCCACAAAACACAGGCATAGTGGCAGAGATCAAAGAGAATAAGATGAGGAAGGGAACTATTGATTGATGCTCTGACCCACCTCGTCAGGTCCTGTCACAGTCACCCAGCAGCCATATTACATTGGCTAATAATCAGCATATTTTTGTGCTGAATAGATGTGTTCTGCCATGCAAGGGCTAGAACATTGGCCTTTAGCTAAATTCCAAGAGTGTAAGGATAAAATGGAACAATTTCCTAACCTCAGAGGAGTCTGAGGGAAATAGAATCTGGTCTATTTTAGGTAGGGTGACCATATCATTTATCACCCACAATAGTACATTTTTAAGAGTAAAAAGGGACACTTTTAATAATTTTACTGGAATAACATGTAAAAATTGAGATATGGCCACCCTTTTCTTAAGCCTTTCTATTCCATGTAAGGCCAGGGATGCTGGGGCTTCTTCAATGTATCTTTTTGGCTTTATTGGGGTCCACTGAAGTTTGGGGATGTGGCCCTCTCTGCCAATTGTCTATGTGTTATTGGGGGTTGAGAATTTAAGTGAAATAATACCAGTATTCCTTTAAACACTGCCAACATGGAAAATCTGAATTTATCAGATCAGCTTATTGGGTATGATTATTTGATTTCAAAAGGAATCCCCATAGGTTTTAGGTAGCAAGTTCTCTCTGGCATACAATATAATTTGCAAGAATTCCCACTTATGCACTGGTATTTTCAGGAATACACATATTGCATAAAAAGGGTTATATATTCTAAAGCCAAGACTTGGGGCTAAGAAAGCAAAGAGGCTTTGAAAGTTCTAAAGTAAAGGCTGTAGCCTCAAACAAAAGTTGAATTCACACAGATGTATGTTGTGGAAAGGGCTTTTTTTCTTCCCTCTGGCCCTACCTGTATCATAATCACTGTCTTTAGTGCTGTCAATGAAAGTAATATGTCCATAGTACTTATCAATTTTATCTTTTCCCTGAGTTGAAGTTAATACATTTCTTGCCAGCTTTTCAGAAGAGGTTGTCTCTTGTAAGCACCTTTAATTTCAACCCCTCTAGGGTTTGAGGCTTCCAAAGGACCATGCTTGGGTATTTGTGTTAAATTCTCACTCATTTTCATAAGGCCTCCCCACAGTCTCCTTTAATTTGGTTTTTACAACAGGTTGACAAACAACAAACTATTAGCACTTCCATAATACATACACTTTAAGCTCAATCTGCTTGACCATGTTATTTTAACACACTAATCTATTCATTTAACAAAATAAAGATTGTGCCAGATAGAAGATTCTAAGCAAAGCATCATCAAAGGTAGTTCAGGTTGTGAAAGGTCCTTTTCACAAGTGTGTAAATGCTTCTATTGAATAGACCCAGCTTTCTGTTGGTTAAATACTACAAAATATAAGAATACTCTGAAGGCAAGAATGCCCAAGAGATGCTTTAGATCTCTCAATTTTGCTTTATTGTAACAAATCCATGCTTTTTTAGTGGGGAAGAAGTTGTTCTTGAATTCAGCTTAGATATTCAATTAATTCATGTGTTTATTACTTGTATGTGAGTAGGGTTAGAATTTTAGTGGTATGTTTCCAAAAGATTAGAACTGGGAATCAAAGGTGATCCTGAGAGAAGATGGATCAAAGTCTACTGGGCTCAACATCCTCTATTTTAAATAAGATTTGATGCCACCTTTAATCAAAGCACCTTTGCTTCAGGAATGGAAACTTAGACTTCAGAGTGTCAAGGAGTCAATGCACATGCCAGGCTAAAGAGAAATGTGTCAAGAGTACTTCCTTACGCTGAACCGTGAAGGTGGCAGAATTCATTGACTCAGGCTTGTGGACCACGGGCAGCCTGGTATTATCCAATCTAAGAAAGCCAAGTTTTCCTTAGTGTGAATGGACAAAACATGACAGAAGGTCAACAAATTCTCCTGGTGACCTTCCTTTGTACTTACCTCCTCCCAAGATGAGTGTTGCCAACTCCCACTGAAGGATGTACTTGAGACATTTGCCAATTCCCACTGGAGTCATGTTAAAGGAGCACATGGGATCTCCAGCTATTGTATCAGCTCCCAGCTGTAAGACCACTGCTTTGGGATTAAAGGCTATGTATACTTCCTTTAGTACACTGTGGAGAAGAAAAAGTAAATAAAATGTCAGAAAAAGATAAGTCTGTTTGGTCTAAGGTTGGTTGTGAGGGTAGTTGGAGGTATAGTTGAATCAGCAAATAGTGAAAGGAAAAAACCCAACTTGTCAACTCATCAAACTTTCCATCTAAAAGGGGTAAATCAGACTTTATGTAAAATATACCTTGATAAACCTGACATACTAAAAATTTTCCCCCCACTTTCATCCTCACCAAGGACCAAATTTACTTTTCTATTTTAGAACTCAGATTTCCTTTAAATATCCATCTTAATTTAATTCAACAGCCATAGGACATAGTGCACACCTTTACGCTATTTTCAATCTGTGAAAATAGGACAACATACTGAATGAATGATTATTTCTGATAATTTAAGATTTTAAAATACTTGGAGTTTATCACCTACTTATCAATGAGGGCTAGTGAAGAGAATTAAACTCTTTTTGAAAGCATAGATGTTATCAGCTTACTTTTTATTAGGCTAAAGGACTTCTGGGTTATGAAATACAACCCCGCCCCTCTCCAATCTGTATGTAACCAGGGTATTATAGGGGAGGAAACTGCAACAATCGAGCCAAAACTATAAATCTGAAAGCACTCCAAAGAACAAAGTGTAGTGGGTAATAATGAACATAATTTTGGGTAGAATCATTCAATGCTACCAAATCAACCTAACAACTTTTTTTGTTTTTTTTGACAGAAGCCTTAGAGATGAAAAGGAAGTTATCACTGTGACAGATGACCTTAGTCAGGCTTCTAGCATTATCATTAATTGAATGTTGACAATGCCCAGAATGCATTCCTAGGAGTTATAAGGTCCCTGTTCTCAAGGGGCTTACAATCTAGCTCCTAGACAAATGCCAGTCCTTGAGGGCTTGAGTAACTCTTACAGAGACATACAAACAAGTGCAAATTAACATACTTTAGAGTTGAGAAAATGCAGAGTCAAAAAGTGATAAAAATGTTGCAGTTAATGACCCCTTCATAATCAACATGTCAAATTATACCAGTGGAGTAAAAACAGAAAAATCCCAGATTCTTCTGAAACTGCAAAAAGAATGCAGGGATATGAAATGCTGTCCTCCAAAATTCATATGTAACCAGGGCATTGAAAACTATTGAAAACTGCTCAGCTACAGAGGCATTCTTTGACTCAAAAGACCAGTTTGTTTTGATTTCTCATCTATGTAGACAGATATTCAGTGATTGTGGAGATTATAAGAATATTATAAAATTTATGACATATGATCCTTAATACAGAAATACTTGGGCCTATTCTCTCTTTCATGTGCTTATCTCCTGAGTGCAGAGGGAAGATAAGCCACCTGAATAGTTAGCCAACATTTGTTGAGCAGCTACACATACAGAGCACCCTATTAGCTGCTGCCAGGAGACACAGAGGAAGGCATGATTTCTGTTTTAAAAGGGTTTATAGCTTGATGGGGAGGATGGGGAGGCAAGCAAGACTAATTTTTTTTTTTCATTTTCATGTATTCCCTCATTTTGCACACATTTACTGAGTGCCCTCTGTATATCTAGTATGTAACTGTACCAGATGCTGCAGGAAAAGAAAAAGATGAATATGACACAGTTCTTATCTTCATGTAGCTCAGAGCAGAGGGGAGGACTTGGACTATGTTAATAAATAATTAAAACACAACAAAAAAAGAAGTATCAGAGATGGCACAGAGGAGGAGGTAGTGTAACTCTTGTGAGGTCTTACAAGAGGAGAAGATGTACAATGAGCCACCTATCAAAATGGCTAAAATGAAAAACAGTGAAAATATCTATTGCTGGTGAGGATGTGGAGAAACTCGATCACACATACCTTTTGGGTGGGAATGTAAAACAGTATAGCCACTCTGGAAAATAGTTTAGCAGTTCCTGTCAAAACTAAAAATGGACTTGTGGACTTCCCTGGTGGTGCAGTGGATAAGAATCTGTCTGCCAATGCTGGGGACATGGGTTTGATCTCTGGTCCAGGAATGAGAAGATGTCACATGCTGCAGAGCAACTAAGTCTGCAAACTGCAACTATTGAGTCTGTGTGTCACAACTGCTGAAGCCCAAGTGCCCTAGAGCTGCACACTGCAACTACTGAGCCTGCATTCTGCAACAAGAGAACCTGATGAGAAGCCCATGCACCACAGAGAAGAGTAGCCTCTGCTCATCGCAATTGAACAAAGCCTGCATGCAGCAATGAAGTGTAACAAAAGATAAAGAAAGCAATACAAACATAAAATGGCCTTGCCATACAATCTAAAAATTGCACTCTTGGGCATTTATTCTAGAGAAATTAAGACTTATTTTCATATAAGAATTTGTACCTGAATGTTCATAGCAGCTTTATTTTTAACTACCCAAACTGGAAACAACTCAAATGTACTTCAGCCAGTGAATGGTGAAACAAATTGTGGTACACTCACAGCACTGGAATATTGTTAATCAATAAAAAGAAATTCTTGACATGTACAAAAAACATGGATGGATCTCAAGGGAATGATGCTTGTTGAATAAGACCAATCTCAAAATCTGTATAGCACGATTCCACTTATTTATCATTGGTGAAACAACAATTAGAGAGATGAAGAGATTAGTGATTGCCAGGAGTTAGGAATGAATGTGACTATAAAAGGGTAGCATGAGAGCCTTGTGGTGATGGTACAGTTCTATACCTTGACTGTGCTAGTGGTTGTGGTTATGCAAAGCTACACGTGATAAAATCCCAGAGAGCTACACACACACACACACACACACACACACACACACACACACACGTGCATGTGTAACTGGTTAAGACTGAATATGCTGTATAGATTGTACCAATGTCGACTTCTTGATTTTGATGTTATACTATAATTATGCAAGATGGCAACATTGGAGGAGGCAGGAGGAAGAGTGCATGGGACTCGTCTATACATTTCGTTACAACTTCCCATGAATCTATGATTATCTTGAAATAAGTAAAAAAAAAAAAAGACTAGGAAATATTTACTGGCACATGGGGTGAAGGTAGAGGAAGGAAGCAGGGAGGGTTGTGGGGATTATGGGTAAGGGACTAGGTTTAGAGGAAGAACTGCACACATCAGAGCATGAAGGCTTGGAGCAGGAAGTGGTGGAAGTGAGGCTGGTAAGGTAAACATGATTTAGGGCACAAAGGCCCAGATAGACCAGGCAGGCTAATGTTTGGATTTTTACTTAAAGGCTATGAAATGTCTCTAAATTGTACCAATATTTTTCTTAGATCAGTCTCCCAAGGCAATAGAAATAAAAGCAAAAATAAACAAATGGAACTGAGTCAAACTTATAAGCTTTTGCATAGCAAAGGAATCCATAAGCAGAATGAAGACAACCTACAGAATAGGAGAAAATATTTGCAATTTATGGACTGGCAAGGGCTTAATTTTCAGAATACACAAATAGCTCATGCAATTCAATAATAACAACAAAAAATCAACCCAATAAAAAAATAGGCAGAAGACCCAAATACACATTTTTCCAAAGACATACAGATAGCCAATAGGCATGTAAAAAGATGTTCAGCAAATATTGTAAAGTAATTAGCCTCCAACTAATAAAAATAAATGGGAAAAAAAAGATGCTCAGCATCACTAATTATAAGATAAACACAAATCAAAACTACCTCATGCTGGTCAGAATGGCCATCATTAAAAAGTCTACAAATTAAAAAAAAGTCTACAAATAACAAATGCTGGAGAGGGTGTGGAGAAAAGGGAACTCTCCTACATTGTTGGTGGGAATATAAACTGGTGCAGCCACTATGGAAAACAATATGAATATTCCTTAAAAAACTGAAAATAGAGCTACCTTATAATCTAGCAATACCACTTCTGGGCATATATCCAGAGAAAACTCTATTTCAATAAAATAAATGCACCCCAATGTTAACAGCAGCACTATTTGCAAAAGCCAAGACATAGAAGCAACCTAAATGCCCATTGACAGATGAATGGATAAAGAAAATATGGTATACTGTGTTTGTATACACACACACACACACACAAAGTGGAATACTACTTGCCCATAAAAAGAATGAAATCATGCCATTTGCAGCAACATGGATGGACCTAGAGATTATCATACTAAGTGAAGTAAGTCAGACAAAGACAAATACCATTTAATATCAGTTATATGTGGAATCTAAAATATAACACAAATGAATTTAGTTACAAAATAGTCACAGACATAGAAAATAAACTTATGGTTACCAAAGGGGGAAATGGGTGAGGGAAGGATAAATTAGGAGTTTGGGATTAGCAGACACACACAAGTATATAACTGAATCACTTTGCTATACATCAGAAAGTAACTCAACATTGTAAATCACTAAACTTCAATAAAAAAGGAATTCATTAAAAGGTATGAAATGTCTCAAACATTGTGTGTGCGCATGCACACATGTGCCATATGCACAAGGCATGATTAAATTTACATTTTTAAAAGATCCTCTGATTATAGCGCAGGATAAAATGAAGTTTATCAGGAGGTTTTTGCCACCATCCAAGTCAGTGGCAGGAAGGCTCAGAGGAAAGAGTTGGATTTGGGAGATAATCCTATGGTAAAATCAATCAGACAATACACACTGACACACAAGAAAAGCATATGAATGTTGGTACCAGTCCTGAGTGTTTGGTACTAGGGGAGAGGAAAGGATAAAGAAAGGCAGGTGTTACTGGGAGAGTTGTTTTAATAGCAGCCAGGAAGGGAACATGAGAATTCTTTTTTAAATGAGTGCTCAGGGCTTTAGATGGGTAGAGAAAAAAGGTAATTAGAAGCTTTGAAAAAGGTGGGGTATTTTGTACACAGTGTAAATGTCAAAGCAACTAGAAATGAGGACAGCTCACCTCATGTGAGAGGACTACATGGTGGACACTCAAATTGAAAATTGGAAGTTTTCCTTTGGTTTAATGCTCAAATGGGAAACACTGAAGAAGTCTGAGACCAGTACTGATGTTATTCAAA